TGCTCTGCTACAGTGACAGTTTCTTAGACCAGTGGAGCTCCCAGGATCTTGCGGAAGCTGACTTACATGCATGGATGTTGTTCTAACCAGAGCAGAAAGCATGTGCAAATGCCCTAGAAGTATGGGGCAGCGAGATGGGATTGTGTCATAAAGTCACAGTAACTTGGCTTAGGGCCAAAAGGGATAAACGGAAAAGATACTTAGGAAGAGAAACCATCTTTACTTCATATCTGCTTTTGTATCGTTAGGGTAGTGAGAAGGTGACAAAAAAATTTTCAGCTCTTGTAATAGAAGAATGATGGGGCTTGACAAGTCAGTTTGGAGCTGTGGGAAGGGTTGTCACAGAGTTTCAAATGCTCAAGGATGGAAGTTTGAAGAGTTTACAAAAACTTATAGCACTGGGTGAAGATTGAGAGGTGAGGGTTGTGAGGCCGCTTGGGAAATCTGAGTACAGATGCGGGCGTTGAATTAAGGGCTGTCAGACTTCAGCTTCAAGAGTAAGGATGTGAGGGGATGAAAGTAGAATGGCACAAGGGGACCCTGGTGTCATAGGAGCCAAAGGAGAAATAAGTCCATCAAGGAGGGTACCAGGTAATGGTTCAGACATGAGAACCAAGAAGAAATGGGTGAGTTCATCCAGGAGCCGGGGACATAATGACTGTAGAGGTAATAGAGGGAAATGCAGGTGAAGCCTATGTGCTGAGGAAATTAAAGCAAAAGTGTGTAGGGTACACATTGGAGAAGTTTAATTATGAAATTATTAAATATCCATGAGAAGTAGACAATACAAAAGGGAAGACATGGTTGAATGCAAGATTTTTTTTTTTAGGTAGAACTTGAACATAGTTTAGAGGTAGAAACGAAATCAGTAAAATTGAATCATTTGCCCTGAGAATTATAAAATGAACAGCATGTAATGCAGAGGTCGTGTGTTTGGCTTGCGTGGGCTCATCTGTGTTTTGTCTCTTAGATAGAGAAGCAGCTGAATGTGAAGACATTTTATGAGTGGACCAGCCCTTCCAACATGATGGAAAGGGATGTTGAAGTCCATATGCCCCGATTCAAACTGGAAATCAAGTATGAGATGAATTCCCTGCTACAATCCCTTGGGATGACAAATATCTTCAACCAGATCAAAGCTGATCTTTCCGGAATATCACCAGTCAAGGGCCTGTATTTATCAAAGGTTATCCACAAGTCATATGTGGATGTCAACGAAGAGGGCACCGAGGCAGCAGCAGCCACTGGGGACAACCTTGCCGTAAAAAGACTCCCCGTTCGAGCTCAGTTCATGGCGAACCACCCCTTCCTGTTCTTCATAAGGCACATTGACACCAACACCATTCTCTTCTGTGGCAAGCTTGCCTCCCCCTAAGCAAATAGGATTGAGCAAGGCTCAGAGTCACAGAGGAGCCACGGGGACAAACC